CTCCTCATTCTCCTCCTCCTCCTCCTCCACCACAACCTTTGCTCCCGGTGTCTCCATTGAAGACGAGGACCCCACCATTTCAGGCTTCTTTACAGCGGTCTCGTGAACCAACTGGGTTGGACCTATCGCAGCCTCCTCGGGCTTCAATAGCCGGCCCACTTGCACCACCAAATGATCACCCATTCAGACCTTCCAACACCAACACTACCAGAAACAACTTCACGAAAAATCACAAAAATAAACCCCTCAAATTACAGTAGAATAAACTCCTTACTCGTCATTTTCACAATGTCTTGTTATTTTGACACATTCAGAAAATAAAACCTAAAAGTTTCCCTCGGTATTTAGAGAAAACGGATTCCATAAAATCATTAATTCTTAAATTATAAATCCACAAAATCACAATTTTTTCGGTTATGAATGCAAAAAAACTCTATTTTCAATTAAAAAAAAAAAACAGACATTATGGGTCTTTAAAGAGATGTTGAAAGTGAAAGGAAATCCACTGATCACGCTGGAATATGCAGCGGGATCAGAGAATGTCTCAAGGATGTAACCTAAAACGAAACCCAGTTACAAATAATACAGAAGAAGAAAATGTACCTCAAGAGAAAACCAACGAAAATGAAATTGAAATGAAATCGCGAGTTTCTTGCTTGACCAAAGAAAGAAATTAATATATACAGATTACGGAGTCGTTACGCGTTTTGGTTTGCCTTTAGTCTGTTGGGTAATGGGTCTCCTTGTCAAAGAGTCTAATCAAACAATGTATTTGGACAAAGATGATTTTGTCAATGTTTGTTAGTAAAATGACCTCCATTAAAAAATAGAATAAATAAATGGTATAAAAAGTCCAAAATATCCCTATAATCAAAAGACTCAAATACCCTTTCAATCCCTTAAATTTTCCAATTCGTCTTCAATCCAATTAAGACGAGCTCTCCATCTNCTCCTCATTCTCCTCCTCCTCCTCCACCGCAACCTTTGCTCTCGGTGCCTCCATTGAAGACGAGGACCCCACCATTTCAGGCTTTTTTACAGCGGCCTCGTGAACCAACTGGGTTGGACCTATCGCAGCCTCCTCGGGCTTCAATAGCTGGCCCACTTGCACCACCAAATGATCACCCATTCAGACCTTCCAACACCAACAGTAACACTACCAGAAACAACTTCACGAAAAATCACAAAAATAAACCCCTCAAATTACAGTAGAATAAACTCCTTACTCGTCATTTTCACAATGTCTTGATATTTTGACACATTCAGAAAATAAAACCTAAAAGTTTCCCTCGGTATTTAGAGAAAACGGATTCCATAAAATCATTAATTCTTAAATTATAAATCCACAAAATCACAATTTTTTCGGTTATGAAAGCAAAAAAACTCTATTTTCCATAAAAAAAAACAGACATTATGGGTCTTTAAAGAGATGTTGAAAGTGAAATGAAATCCACTGATCACGCTGGAATATGCAGCGGGATCAGAGAATGTCTCAAGGATGTAACCTAAAACGAAACCCAGTTACAAATAATACAGAATAAGAAAATGTACCTCAAGAGAAAACCAACGGAAATGAAATTGAAATGAAATCGCGAGTTTCTTGCTTGACCAAAGAAAGAAATTATATATATACAGATTATGGAGTCGTTACGCGTTTTGGTTTGCGTTTAGTCTTTTGGGTAATATTCACTTATTCGTAGATACGGATGTGTGCGCGTGTAGATAGATACGGTTGTGTAAAATAATCAAACTTGGGAGCTAGTACCTAAACCTGAGAATAAATATACCGTTGACTGTAAGTGGGTATTTAAGGTTAATGAGGGTACTAGCACATATAAACCCTTAAGGTTTAAGGCTAGGTTAGTGGCCATGTGATACACTCAGAAGCAGGGGATTGATTACAACGAGATTTTTTCACATATTGTTAAGTACACTACTATTAGGATCATACTTGCATTGGTTGCACATTTAGACTGGACTATGAACAATTTGATGTAAAAACTGCTAATTTACATGGTGAACTTGATGAGAAAATCTTTATGAATCAAGCTAGATGTT